ACTATATTTTACTTTTTTATTAATTTTGTAATTCTTGTTTTTTTTTAAACAAAATTAATTTTTTAAATTTATTTTTGCAGATGGCCATATATCGTCCCTGTTTCTCTTCGAGCGATTATGCAGTGTCGCCATATTTTTAAATAGCGTCCTAAGTGATAAATTTCGTAACTTTGAGTCTAAAACCGATTGAATACATTTTGACAAATGTAACTCTTAAGTTTTAAATTCAAATATTGATTATCAACTAAGTTATTGTAAATGGAATGCCATAATATCATCTTTTCCTCTATAATATAAAGACAAAATCTTTGGATTGGAAATATGTATTTATAGAAATATGTATTTATAGAAAATTGTGAAGTACTGTATGAAAATATTGAATAGAAAATAAATATAATGTGAATATATTGTGACAAACCTATGAAAAATATAATATAGATAGTTTGTTAAGTCAATAAAACTTTTTTTTATTTTTTTTTTTACTAATATTCGATTTATTTTTCAACACACACAGCCTCCTTTTAAAAAACTCACTGATTTATCAAACTGCTCACGTATATCAATTTGTCACTCCTTAGATCTAATAAAGTAAATTCTAAAGGTGCCTGCTTTTCTGTTACAAAAATCATCAAGGTGTCTTCAGAACTTGCTTTATTTGATTTAGAGAATGACGAATTGTTTGTGTCATTGTTTATGTTGTTCACGAACATATGTATATAGGATAAGAGTAGGAATCAAATTTAGAATTCATTGACTATTACTTTTACAAAGAACCACTTCTATTTGTCTCTTCTATTCTAAAACCACTTTTTTGAGAAACATATGTATGGTTCATTTTCGTCCATTCCTTAAAAAGGTCTCATTTCACAAAACGACATTACCGTGTTAAATATATCGTTTCGAAATAAAGCTTAATAGAAAAATGATAAATAAATAAGAGTGTTGTCCTGAAAGTATCGCATCGTTACTTTGGTAGAAAAGAAGTATAACGAAATCTATTTCTCCCAGAGGAGCGGACGATCAACGATTTGTATGGGAAATGATCTTGTTTGTGCGCCGAAGAAGAGCCGATTGATTCGTAATTGGACGTCGTAAATAACCTGATCGCAAAGTGAGCCGATCGCATTTTCTTGCAACACAAATCATTTAGATCATTTACATCAGTTGCATTCATGAAACGAAGCAACAATAACGCGAATATTATACCTAAAAAAAATATAGCAAATTCGGTATTATTATATATACAAAATAATAATTTGCGATCTCGTATTGTGTGCGAGAGATATATAACCATATTCGAGATACAAACTCGTTACAGACATTTTCAATATTTGTTTAATGACACGTTAAAAAGGACGATAATGCAAATGAAACTTAATAATGTTTATATATCTATTTATCGCCATGAAGTGAAGGGTTAAATTTTAAAAGCTCATGGTACCTGCCAAATGTAATGGATCGTCACATTTTCGGTATAATGACAACATCGCAAAATCTTATAGCGCATTAAAAATTATTGACATTATTAATTTAATGTCACAAGAGTGACCGAAAGTGGTCGCGACTGTATAAACGATCGATAATGCTTATCGTGGTTTCCATGGATACATCAGTCACAAAACCAAACTGTTCGACGCTTCTCGCAATAGCACATGTAAACGTCGCGCTTGTAATCATTAATGATAACGTCGAAATTATACAAAGATAAAAAAAGGCCAGCTCGTTGCTAAGAGTAGATTTAGATCGCACAAGCAAGCGCGAACAAATACGAATGAACAACTGACTTAAACCAGGACGACGTAGCGCTACTTTATCGAAGCGAATTGTTTTGATCGTATTTGTTCGCGTTCGTTTGATTAGTCTGCAGTTTAAAAAAAGAGGCAATTCGAGATTCGTTCGGGAGTCGTCCCACGTAGAGATTCTCCAATAAGAGTCTGGACACGAGCTGCGGTTTTGTATGCAGGATGCAGTGTAGTACTTTTAACAAAAAATCTGCGAGAGAGAAGGATATATATTATTATTTTTTTTTTCTCATTCTGTTCTATTTTTGTCTTATTTCTCTCTCTCTCCCTCCTCCTACCCCTCCTCCTCCCTCCCCTCCCTCAGGAATTGTTAAAACATGGCGAATCAATAAAAAATGGCTTTCTCGTATCCAGACTCTTATTGATTGGTATTCATAGTCGATTCTTATATTTAAGTACAATTTTAAACTAATCGTTATTAATTGTTATAATTAGCTGCCGTAAGCTAATCTAAACTAAAGAGGATTGCCTTAGCGTCTAAAAAAAGAATGGACTATCGAATGGAGTATCGTCCATTGTTTAGCATTTTGTTTTAGTTTATTTTGTAGGGTTTTTTGCAAATTTTTCCCTGCCAACCACATTTTGGAACTAAACTAGACTGTTATTAGGTCCCGCACATATACCGTGGTTCCGCATGCAAAATATCAGTAGCTGACTAGCTGCTCAATCGATCGCGGCGGACTGGTACGACGATGCGTATCATTTCACGTACTATTTGCGTATTTATTATCAGAGTATTATCGGGAATAAATCCCGTCAGAATACGGGAAAAGTTGTATAGCCGTGCAATTTCCACGATTTTTCAGTACGACTGTTTCGCGAATCCTTAAAAATTTCTCAGCGGATGTATAAAATCGCACGCGATTGAAGTTAAATTTTGATTTAATCAAAGCGAACCGGTTCACCCGCTTTCCAACACACAATAGTTCCGTCGGAAAGTTCATTATTGTCAGTTAGTTTCGCAAACGGGATTCCATCGTGGACATTAACGCGACCACTTAATGGGAGCTAACGATTTGCACTTCAAAGGCATTTCTCGTTTGTCGTAATTCCCGGAAATTATCGACGTTGTGTTGGGCATGTATTAAGCGAGATCGTCTGACATCAAGGCAATGTTGTGAGCCAATTAGTTTACATTAGAAGTCGACCGGAATAGATCCGATCTCAATGAAACCGAGACGCACTACTCGCTAATTTGCGTTTAAAAAATCTGCGTTGATACGAGCAAGCAATCCCTTCAAACTCTCCATAATTTGAATAAATAAAAATGCTATGTTTAATTGACGCCGTGTAAAACATCAAATAGCAGAGATAAAGTAGTTTGCAACATTTAAATGCCTTCGCATACGCGTTTAAATACGTGACCTTTCATTCGCGTTTTTTCCCTATTCGCGGAGAAACGAGCGTCGATAACACTTTGAAATGGAAATCACATTTGTGCGCGGTGTGAATATTTTCTCTCTCGCTTGTTGAAATTTGTTTAAAGAATCTCCTTTTTCAGCAGCTGCGCGATTCGTTCCCGTAAATTGACAATTTAATCGCTGTAATCGTTAATTTATCTCCGTGAAATGCCTCGTGTACTTTATATCATTTTAGAGAGCGTATAAATTACTTGTAAAAATCGCTCTCAAAAGATTATAATCACTTTTGAGAAAAATGGAAGGGCAAAAGTACTCAGAGAGTACTTTGTACTTCGGTTCCTAAGGAAATATTAATCGATAAATTTCACCGAAGTTTCTGATAGAAGCGACTGAACTTCTTTTCATAATTCCTTTTATCATGTTTTGATGTTTGTTAAGCTTCGATTCAACTAATAACTCGTGGGATTTGAAAAAAATCTAATGCCACACTTGCCGCCAGCTTACAGAACTAAAGATATTCTCAAGAATGAAATAGAGATGGCTGAAGAGTAGAATTCCCGTGCAAAAGAAGTGGGTCGAGTGCATCAACACGAGACATATGATGCGATGAGACCTATATATCCTAATATTATCGAGATTTTGAATATGATTGTGCTATGCAAACAGTGAGTAAACCTCGTGAGTAAAACTCGTGGTAAAAGTTATAAGCTATGACTGTTACAAATCGTAATGGGATTTAGAATATCTGAAACTGATGACGATTAATTGTAGAACGAGACCCTTGAAATTCTCTGGCCGGTACAATTACGGACTGTAGACGATCGAGCCAACTATCTTGAGCATTATTGGATATACCGTGGTCAGTAGTTTCCGCACTCGGAATAATCGGAAACTCTATGATGCTTGGTCCATTTGAAAGCGAAGACATACTTGAAAGGGTCAGCATACACGTATTTAGCAGGTCGGAAATCAGCTATGAATTAATGTGGAATTCACCCGCTTCTACCAGATTTGTTATTGTTATACACTTGGAGAGAGGATTCTCTCAATCATCCTTGATGACAATTATGCCGTAGTCGCAAGCGAAGATTTTGGATAAACGGAATAGTTCAACTTAATTGTTCGATTTAAATGTTCGACTGAAAAATATCCTAAATAATATTAATTACATCAATGTTATAGTAATTGCAGCAAGAATTTCTATAATTTTTATACAGTGCTCACGACTTCGAATCTGATCACTTGCGTTCCCGCTGTTTTCTCCAGTCAGAGGTATTTTTCGTTGTAACGAAAAGACTAATTGAAATTCGATGCGTTTGTTCATTTTCCGGTCGGCTCCATTACTTCAAACATCACAGTGTCGCTTGCGTTAGGCGTGAGCGACGATTAATAATAGTTTGCGAGTAAAAATTTTCTGTCGTAATAATTGTTCTGTTAATCCCGCAGATAAAGAAAAATTAAAAAATTGTAATTATATCACTCAAAAAAGTGATCTTGCAGTTATAGCGAAAATGATCTAAGTATGAAAAATAGCTAAAATAGATAAATTTCTAACAAGTACTGCGATACATGTATGGCACCTAATCATATAGATGACAAAGATAGAATTTAGATTTGTGCTATAAATTTCATGCGTATGATACATAATTTTCTATCAAATACAAAAAATAACTATAATTCTAGCTGGAGCAGCAAAATATTTTTTTGCGTGATGTGCAAATCAATTAAATAGGTATAAGAAAAGGCCAATATAGTTGAGACTTTAGGTTTTTTTTAGTTCCTATATATAAAATAATATTTTTTATAATATTTTTTATTTATTTTATAATACTTTTATGTAAATTTTACATCATCTTTTTGTTATACTTTATTATTTATGTAAATTCTAAAACATTTTTCTGTTATATTGATTAATTTTATTATTGAGCATTTTATTAGCAAAAAAGCTATGTTTTGAAGAGCTGAAATAATTTAACGAAATTCAATTCTCACAGCCGCGATGGAAATCACCTAGATTCTGTAGGTGGGAGATGCGCGCTGATACTCTTCATTATTTTCTTCGCCATTTTGATCAACATATCATACTGCTTCATGTACAAGTACAACGAGCGTGGGAAGCTGATAACAACTAACTTCTTTCGTTCGCGGTAAGAAACAGCGATAACGATGATGGCGATGATCACGAAAAGGTATACTGGTGTATATTATATCCAATTCCCCAATTCCCATCCCAAAGTTTCAGCCACCCCCAACCTTTCACAGAGGTCGCATTAATGTCTCTTATCCCCTGTGTTTCCAGAACAACGATATTTCATAAGTTATGCTTTTACGAATTTAATTTTGTTTGAAAATCTGAATAAAATAACATCGAAATGATTTTTGCAGGTGGTTCAATCTTCAAACTTGGCTTCAATTCATAATATTTGGCCTGATAGCCGCATATTTGCTTATCGCAAATCTCATTATGATATATTTGATGAGGAGGGCTCCTCAAGCAGAGCGAGATGTTGAAAGTAAAAACATATGCGAAGGAAATCGTTTGCGGGTGATTACGTTAATGCGAGAATCTATGGAGATGTTTATCGTACAAGTTTGCTGTGAACTAAAAAAGGCTGCGAATCGTGTTTTGTAAATTACTTCCGACCTAAAAACACGCCTTCAGAGTTACAGGTTAGAATGTCAGACAGAAGTTTTTCGATTGTGGACTATAGAAATAGTATAATCAGTTTTGAACTTTCGTGCTAGCTGCGCCACTTCATTCTATGCTATTCGAGAAGCTGAATGGGACGGTTGTTGTACTCCACCACTTTAGAGCGTCTCGGAATACGATTTGCATGAAACTCATCCGAGAACCGAATGATATCCGGAAACAGAGTCTCGCACGAGTCATTATTGTCTCGCGTAATTGGAAAAGTTTCCCTCAAAAATCGACGCAGTCTTTGCGAGCGCAATTATTAAAACTTTGTTGTCGTTTTTGCTGCAGCTAGATCGCTTTTATAGCTTCAAATAGCGTCATCCAATTGATATTAATTCATCTATCAATAGTAAATAGCTTTCTTTTCTTTTCTAATTGTCGATATTAATTATTGATTTAATATTTTCCTATATTAGAATCAGTAATTGTAAATTCGTCCAACATTACATGAAATTATGTTTCTAAAAATACACATGTCTGAAAGATCACATCTCAAAGACGTTTCGCTTTGCTTTGTTTTATCGCATTGATTTACCATCTATTAAGATCAAGGCTGACGATTATGCTCGGTATCGTATTTCTGTTCCTTGTGGGCGAACTGCCAACACATTTGGCGTCGCGACGCAGCGCCGTGTCTCTGCTTTAAGACGGTGATGCCGGTGATGCCTTCAGATTTCGGGAGGATTTATAGAAAAGTGAAGAACGAAATGTGCTACGCATCGTGACGCTACCATTATTAAAGCAGTCTCAGTCAAAAGAATACGTGTGCACAAAATATTTTTCTCTATAACGCAAAAATATCATCAAAAATATAATTTTTGTTATCAAAAGTAAAGAAACAAAAATATGATGTTCGAATTTGTTTAATATTTAACTTTGAATTATTTTGAATTTAAATCAAAATGACGACGGGATTATAAAAGGTAGTCGTTTCCTTCAAAGTGTATAAATAATTAAACTTTACTGCATAAATAAATACAGAAATAATTAAACTTTGTATATGTAATTAAACCTACACAAATTGGAATGTAACGTGACAAGCGTTCTTATGTTTCACCGATAATTTATTTATTTTGTTATATTTTTCGCATGTGGGCGATTCTTCTCAACGCGTTAGCGAGCTCGACGAACTTCATACTTTATTGTGTGCTGAGTCCACACTTTTCGAGTATTTAAAACGCATATTAGTTCCAGAACATACTATAAAAAGGAGATATAATAGGAGTGGACCGATCGTTTACTTTCATCAACAACAGGCAGCAAAGTGAAATATTTGTATTATAGCATTTCGATAACAATAATTAGTGATTCAACTTATCTACAGATAAATTGAAAACTTCACTGAACACAATTGAACATTTCATTGAAAACACAATAGATACAATAATCACATAAAGTGAGCCACAAGAACCAATTGTTTCTTATAGTAATAAATAATCGTAAGTAGTTATATATAATTCTACACTGCATATATTTTCTATTTCTATAAAGAATAGGTATAAATATAAGGAATAAATGTAGAGAAATAAAAGATTAGAAATACTTTTAATCTCTAAAAGTAACGCACAACAAATGCAAATAAAATATAAGACACATTTTTATTTATATGTCACATTTTATTTATATCTATTGTGAGTTACGTCTAATCCTAATTTTTTTATTTCTTTAATAATGCTATGTTTTCCTATTCCTAATATTTCTTTTATTATGTGCAGGATTATAATATAAAAAATTTTTAACAAACTTTCAAATATCAGTTCGATTAAAGTAGACTGCGACTTAAAATCTAACATGTTTAACAATACATATTATCGAAGTTTGTTGTTTTATGTTAGTGAAGGACTGGTTGATACCTGACGAAAGTACGCTTGTCACTCCTGACAGTTTCATAGTTTTCGTTGAACTTTCTCTTTAATAGGAATCGATAGAAACATTTTTGACGCCGGTGGTAATTTCATACGTGATTGTTTTTGACATTTGAGCATTTTTTTCTGTCTTCTAAAGAGCTGCCTGGCCAAGAGATAAACCAGCTCGATTACGCTCAACACGGAACCACCGAGACACAGACCGAAGATACCGCCAAAGGATGCTGTAATAATTCGCGTAATTTCATTAGAATCTATCGAGTAAAATTAATTCAAGCGAGATCAAAGACCAATTCTCTATCATCGGCTAAAGATTGGAATCTAACTCACCGAGGAGTGAATCCCAGCTGATGGTACTTTCCTTGCGATATTCGACATACGACACATCGCCAAAAAATACGTACACAAAAGACATATTATTAATATTGAAACCGTGTCTAAAAATGTAATAAAAGATATGAAAATAAAATACAAAAATATAATCTCTTCACAATTCAATAAGAAAAAATTATTAAAAGTTCATGAAAATAACGTAAATAATCTCATATTGCGAAGAAAAAGCTAACATTCTTTTCATTAAAAACACTCACATTAGATCAGAATCAAATCCTACATTCTCCATTTTAACATATTCTGGATTGATGGTATATAACATATCTGTGCACTGGGGCAGACACTTTTTGCAAGTTTCCGTGTTCGCGTGATGTGGTATCGATTCTAAATTTAAAAAAAACACTGCGTACTATATAATCTGTTAGTTCTATATAATCAGATATACGATATATCTAATTATACAATAATATATGTATAAATATGTTTGAAACCGTTTTCTTACTTCGGATGCTCAAAAGGCAATTTATGTCAGACAAATAACATGTCTTCATCCCCTTATCTATCAACACATTAAAGAGTATAATGTTAGTTGTCATGTTAATTAGGTGTTATTATATTCGCATCAACCCTCCATCTGTAATCTAGATTTTTTTTGTTTAACCCAAGTTTTATTCTTTGTTCTTTACACTTTCAAGAAATGTTGAAAAATTCGGAGTTATTTCATCGACATCTCTATTACAGCTGCCACAACCAACAAGATATTTTAGGAAAGAGAATCTTTATTTCAGAAAAATTTAAAAGTGAAATTTCACTTATATCAAAAAAAAAGATCCAGATGAGGATTTATTTAATATTTATATATCATCATATTAGCGCATTTCCAAAAAGTTATAAAATTGATAAAATGAGATTGAAGAATACAGCATCTATATGTTGCTCCAAAGGAGAAATTTACTCTATTAGATAATTTTGTATCTTTATAGATACTCACGCGCCTCCGGATAATAAAATGGCAGGCAGTCGCACATATGATGTATGTGTTTGGCTATACAATCCGATATGCACGATTGATGGCTGTAGCGAATCTCGCCCGGCATCTGTATTCAGTTACAATTACGTGAAATATGGAAGACGAGAGTTTATAGCGGTTATCGAGTTAAATAAATCGACTTAAGCCGAGGGGCACATAATTTTACCTCGTCGTCGAAGTAACACAAACGTTTCTCCAGAGGGATGGTTCTCAAGCTTTCCATGCCTCGGATAGACGTCCCGGTAATGGATATCGCCATAACGTGACCAATCGGCACGGTTGTAATATGTGCACCAATGTCGGGAAAATCAATTGGGTCGTGTATTATGACGGAAGCTCCTACGAAAGGGCGCGAAGTAGCTTTGTACATGTCGGGCTCAATATTTAAGGCGACCGCAAGTCCCACATCGCGACCGCTTCCAGGCGCTTTCTGCAAAAGTAGAATTTATCATGTGCACAACGTAGTAGAAAATTAGATTATAACAGAATCTGACCACAAGCAAGTTTATCGAAGTCCTATGAGAGAGAAAGATATATATACATATATATCTTCGTATATATATATATAT